AAAGATTCAAAATATTACTGCTCTTTGATAATACACCTGGTCACCCAAGAGCTCTGATGGAGATGTACAATGAGATTTAATGTTGTTTCCATGCTTGCTAACACAACATACATTCTGCAGCCTGTGGATTGAGGAATAATTTTGACTTTCAAGTCTTATTATTTAAGAAATAGACATTTTGGAAGGTTATAACTGCCATAGATAGTGAATCCTCTGATGAATCTGAATAAAGTAAGTTGAAAATTTTCTGGAAAGGCTTCACCATTCTAGATGCCATTAAGAATATTTGTTATTAATGGGAAGAGATTAAAATATCAAGAACTTGATTTGGAAGAAGTTGATTCCAACCCTCATGGATAACTTTGAGGGTTCAAGACTTCAGTGGAGGAATTAACTGCAGATGTGGTGGGAATAGCAAGAGAAATAGAATTAAAAGTGGAGCCTGAAGTTATGACTGAATTGCTGCCATCTCATGATAAAACTTTAATGGGTGAGGAGTTAGTTACTTCTTATGGATGAGTAAATAAGGTGTTTCTTTGAATTGGAATCTGTTTCTGGTGAGGATGTTGTGAAGATTGCTGAAATGACAACAAAGGATTTAGAATATTACATGAACTTGGTTGATAAAGCCATGGCAGACACTGAGAGGACTGACTCCAATTTTGAGAAAAGTTGGGTAAAATGCTATCAAACAGCATCACATGCTCCAGAGAAATTGTTCATGAAAGGAAGTGTCAATTGATGCAGCAAACTTCATTGTTTTCTTATTTTAAGAAATTGTCAGGGTACCCCAGCCGTCAACAACCACCCACCCTGATCAGTCAGTGCCATCAACATCAGGGCAAGACCCTCCACAGCAAAAAGATTAGCACTCACTGAAGGCTCAGATGATGGTTAGTATTTTTTAGCAATAAAGAATTTTTTAAGTTAATGTATATACATTGTTTTATTAGATATAATACTATTCAAACTTAATAAACTACAGTATTGTAAACACAACTTTTATGTGCACTGGGAAACCAAAATTTTGTGACTCAATTTATTGTGATATTTGCTTTATTGCTTTGGTCTGGAACCAAACTGCAGCATCTCCAAGGTATGCCTGTACTTGCTGTGGTGCCACCTGCCATGGCCTGCACACTCCTTGCTCTCCTGCCTCAGGCCTTTACACATGCTGTTTTCTTTCCTCATTTTCTTTTTGTGCTTTGTTTACAGGGAAAACTCCTACTTATAGTTTAAGATTCATCTCCTCTGATAAATTTTCTTTAATCCCCTCAAGCTGAGGAACTTTCCTCTATGCTATGATTTCTCTATTTTAACTCCCAAATAAATAAATTTGTTTGTTTCCCTCTCTGATCCTTAAGCTTTTTATCTTTGCATTCCTAACATCTAGCAAACTGTCTGATGTGCAGCAGGAGCCAAACATTATTTGCTGAATGAATGGTTGAATTAATTAACTGATATCTTAGAGCCCTCCATTTTTATACTTTTTGATCTTTAAAATCCCTAAATATATTTTGTTCCCTTGCCAGAGTTAAAACTTATGTGTTACTTTTCTACCCAGTTGCACAGACTTGTAAGGTCTTCTTTTTTAAATCCCATCTGTATTTTTCTTCATCAGCTAGAAGTATTTAATGTCTCCTTAACTTGGAAATCTCATGTGAGCTTTTACTTTCTAGATCATTTAAAAAAGATATTAAATAAATATCAATCCCTGAGGAACTGAATTCTTTATACTTCTCCATCCAAAGAAATCCCTAATTAACGCTATCATTTAATCCCTATTTTGACCTGGTTTAAAATTTTAGCATAAGTAGACAACATATGAATCTTCGAGCCCAAGGTATTATCAGTTAAAACAAAATAAAACAAACACCGCCACAACCTTTTGTTTAGAAGGCTGGCATTCATTACTTCCGCTTTTGTTTATGTGCCTATTTATTACATTAAATTTATCCTTTGGGATGGCCCTTAGGAGAAATGATCCTGCCTTCTCTATTTCTGTTACCTAAAAACTCTGTAACCTGCCTTTCTTTCCCCTATCAGCTGCCATAATACATCATTGTTGTTATGTTCACTAAACCTGTCCTTTATTACAGTTTAGCATTTGGATATCAGGGCTCATTAAAAATCCTATAACTGCCTCAGGCAGACATAATTAAGCTTAGGCTCAGAAGCCAAAAATTTATTTTGTATTTTAAATTCCAAATTCCTACAGCATTAAAGTAACCAGAATTTACCGGTAGATATACATAGTCACCATCAGAGTAAAGAAATAATATTTTTAAACTTTCGCCTTCTTTGTAATAATATATGTTCACAGACTTTCTTCTTTCAGAAACTACCTAAATGTTGACTGTGCCATTCTAGATAAAAGACTATACATTATGTGTATGTCACTGCAGAGGGAATTGTGTAACAAGCTTTGATTATACTGTAATATGCAGGGAATTTTCTTCAGCTCTTTCTGAATATTTATACTTTTTTATTTTTATTTCTCTGAGGAGTTTGAGCATCATTTCAAAACATTAATTTACTTATCCTTTCAAAACATTAAGTTTTTTATCCCTTTAGTTTCACTGAGGTAAACGTAGGTAGTGCTATAACATTGTGCAGAATATGAAAATCACTAAGACAAAGACAGAACACCAAGTTTGATAAATTTAAGGAATAAAATAATTCTGTGCTCTTTCTATAAGTCCCTACTTTTTGTTTTCTGATATGCTACTTAATTTTATGTTGGAAAAATATCAATATCCCATTTTTATACATGTAAAAACAGACACTGAAAGAGTAGAAGACTTACCCAACTCATAGTGCTAATAACAGAGATAAAACTAGAACCCAGACCAGAAATACAAGGGGGAAATCATTGCAAGCCAAGAAAACCACAAAGTGTCTGCTCTTGGGTAATTAGTGAGGGTGAACAATGGCTGACAGCTACTTCTAACTGTCCTCCCTACATCTTATAAACAAGTTGATATCCCCCCAAACCTGCATAAAGTAGCAGACAGCCTTTATTTTCAGAAAAGAAGGAACTAAAAATACAGTAGTGCAGCCATTTATTAACCTCAGGCAACATTATTCCTTGGTAACAGAGTCTTGTGAAAAAAACATGTGATTTGAAAGATTTAGGTTTAGATGTCAGTTCTTTTACCAGTCTCTGAATTTTCTTACACTAAATACCTATTTAGTTAAAATGGAGCTTAATAATAGCAGCCTAATTGCCTCAAAAGGTGTTGTGATGCTCAATAAGATGCTTCCAGAAGCACTTTATAAACTATGTCATTATACAAATACAAGTCCTCGTGCTTATATAGCAAATAAAGGAAATCCTTCCTGTGCTGGAAAGAGTATAGCGCAGTTATTGGGATCATGGTTTAGCACTCCACACTGACTTAGGTTACAATATAAGAAATGCCACCATCTGGCTCTGTCACTTGGCTTAGGAACTTAGACTCTTCAAACCTCAGTTTTCTCCTCTTTAAAATGAGGAATAATCTTTATCATGAGTTTTTACAGGATTTACATGAGATAGTATATGTGGAATGCATAAGCTATTGTTAAGGTCCCTTGAGTTAGTTTTCTTTAAAATAAACTATTTATATTAATATTTTTATATATTAGTATTAGCAAAAGTTGCAAATTAAGTAAAGGGAGTTCCCATCTACTTTTTTCCTGGTTCCCTCCATTGTTAATATATTTGACTTGCCACAACAGACAGACATTGATGAATTACTATTAACTAAACTCAGGCTTTATTTGGACTTCAGCAGCGTATCCATGAATAGCTATTTCTTTTCCAGGATCCAATCCAGGGTTCCATATTACATTTGATTGTCATGTCTCCTCAGCTTCCTCTGGTCGGTGAGAGTTTATCAGTCAGTCTCCTTGTTTTCCGTGACCTTAACTGTCTTGGGGAGTACTTCCCAGGTATCGCATAGGATGTTCCTTATTATTAGACTGGGATTGTGGGCTTTTAGAGAGAATATCAGCGAGGAGAAGTACTCTTTTTGCCACAATATACCAATGGGTACATGATATCCCTGTGACATCACTAATAATGTTAAGCTTCATCACTTAGTTAAGGTAGTGCTTATTGAGGGTTTTCACTGTATATTGAGTTAGTTTTGACCAGCTGTCACTTATATAGGCCTTCTCTTCCCTCTCTTCCCACTGTAAGGAATGCTTTTCATTTCTGTTTACTGCAATTATCACAGAGGAAATACCTTGTGCAAATGCAGCATTCTCCTCTCAGATCAGTCTCTATGACATTTTACTTTGGTCTTTTCTTCATAGCATTTATCATTACCTGAAATTGTCTTGTGCATTTGTTTACCTAGTTTATTGTGTGTCTATAGGCCCCCTCCCCTCAAACAGGAACACAAGCTTCAAGAGAACAAGGTCCTTATAGGACTGTTAACATCTGCACACTTGGAATCTAGCACAAGGGTTATCATATCCTAAGTGCTCAATAACTATTTGTTGAATAAATGTCAAAGAAAGAAAGATACAGGATTAATTTATTAAGAGAGTTGAAAAGAGCAGAATGGTGGGAGGTTCAATTTAGCATCTTAACTGAATTGGTTTAGTTTTAATGAAAAGGTTAAATGCAATCATCGACATCTCTAGAAATACGTAATCAGTATCCTTATAATTCAAGCTCTCTTATAATACACTTAATAATGTGAATGTCAGAATATTTTTCTGACTTGTAAGGATATGACTGACAGATGTAAGATCTCAGTATTATACATCTGCATCACTGTGACCTTTATTTGCTAAGCTTTTTTATTAGGCTCAGCTTTCCTATTGTAGAACTTTTAACAGAATCTGAAGGAATGGAAAAATAATTGATGGCCTTGATTTTTAACTTATAGATGACTTCTTAGTGTCTGTTATCTTTTCATTTATATTGCCAGAAAAATGGAGCTTCTTTGCATGACTCTTTCTCCCCATAACTCATTATAAGGCACCTCTCTTTTTATTCTCATTCTCAGGACTTAAAGTCTCCAAATCAGAGGGATGAAATTGCAGGGGCCCGGGCCTCATTGAAGGAGAACTCCCCCCTCTTGCATTCAATTTGTTCAGCTTGTTTGGAACATTCTGATGTCGCTTCCCTCAAAGCCAGCAAGGACACAGTTTGTGAAGAAATCCAGAATGCTCTCAATGTAATTTCGAATGCTTCACAAGGCATCCAGAATGTGCCGGCCTCGCCGCAGCCTCAGGCAGCAACCCTGGGAAGTGCCCTTGACGAGCTTGAGGTAAGTCAAGAGAAAGGTAGAGTGTGATTTGATGTCCCAACGTGAAAATAAACAGAAGTGGGCTTTCAGATCCACGTGCTGGAGTTTAGAGCATGAGTAAATGAAGGTCCAGTCATCCAATCAGACTCTATCATCGTCTTGTATCTTCCAATGAATTGATGAGCAGGAAAATATTCCATCGGGTGACGTCTGAGTCCTTTGCATCTCTGCCAAGGAAATCAATGACTTTGAAGTGGGAATTGTTAATTAGATCGTGATGATGACTTTTTTATAGAAATCAACTTATGAAATGTAGGATTAATTCATTTCACAAATACTTAGTAGTGTCACTGTTCTTTGTGCTTGGGATGTAATAGATCACTACCCCTGTGAAGCTTGCATTCTAACAGGGGATATAGGCAAAAACAAAACCAATAAACACAGGTAAGTAAATTGTATAGAACATTACACCGAGAATGTGAGAGACTATCAAAGGCGTGAAGGAAGTTAGAGAATCAGCAGATTGAGATGTAGAGCAAAGGCCTGAAGGCATGCCCTAGTGTTTAGGTGGCAGCACAGAAGCTGGGTGATGGGCAGAGAGCGCAAGGGGATGCGAAGTAGAAGCTGAGGTCAGAGACCCAGTGGAACTAGGTTGTAGAGGGCTCAGTAGGCTTTTAAGGACTCTGGCTTTTACTTCAAATTAAATGTGATTCATTGTAAGGTTTCAAGCAGAGGAGTGACCTGCTGAGACTACATGGACAGCGCGTGGAGCATAGACAAAAGAGGAGCAAAGGGAAAAGCTGAAAAATAGCTTCCAGACACCTAAGTGCTCCAGCCTCCCTCAGGCAGGAGGCTGTGTCATAACACAGGTTTCATGTTTATACTTTACATGCACCGCCTCCCATTTTCGTTTGGACCAGGGTGGTATCAGGAAATATTAAGGCTTGATTTTGTAAGGAGAGCCAACTAGATTTGACAGAATGCATGTGACATGTGGGAGAAGAGGAGGAGCCCTGGCTGGTGTTGCAGCCTGAGTCCCCTGGGAGCACCTGCCAGATGGAGTTTGGGAGGAAGGGGGGGAGCGGGACTCAGTCGAGGAGGGAGTCTCCCTGTGGGCCACACCCACCAGGCCTGGACAAATCCCCAAGATGCTCCGGGGGGAAGGTTGACATTGATGTACCTTGTCAGGCACAAAAGCCAGGCCTTTACACCTTTTAGTCACTGGCAGCAGTCATCGTGCCCTGGGAAGGGTATGATCCCCAGGTGCTGGGAGTGCGAGCAGCCCCTGCAGCTGAGACTGATGCTGAAGGAACTGATAGCTGGGGGCCGTCTGTAGTCCTCACTCCTCACAGCTGGGCAAGGCCTACCACGGATCAGTCACGTCAAGGCTTTTTTTGTTCTGTTTTGGCAACTGGATGGATGAAGTTTTCATCAGTTATGATGGGGACAACTGTGGGTGAAGCTGTTTTTGAGAAGAAGCTCAGAAACTCAAACTCAGTTTTCAACACTGGGTGCCCAAGTCAGTCATGTAGTTGCTTAATGGGGGGCAACACTTAGGATAAGGGTCTGAAGCCCAAATGCCTGGTTCCTGTCTCAGCTGTCGCTCTTAACTATTAACTACCCATGTGACCTTAGGAAAGTTATTTTATTTAACTCAGTTTCCTCTCCTGTAAGTGGGGATAATAATAGAACCTATCTCATAGTGTTGTTGTTAGAATCAGTGAATTAATAATACATGTAAAAATTCTTAGAGAAGTGCCTGGTACTTTATAAGTGCTCAGTAAATCTTAGCTTTTATTATCATTAGTGGAGATGACTATTTGGAGGCAGATTCTTCTACAATGAAGAAATCATTGCAATTAAAATTACTAAGTTTTATTGATAACTTAAAAATAAACACTGCATATAACATAATTCCTATGTTGTTCTTAATTTTATTACTTTCATGGTTAAAATATTAGGTACTTTATTTAAATTTGGAATGACCTTTTTGTATACTTTTCCATTGGTTACATGTTTTAAAACAGGTCCCTTCATTTCTAATCCAGCATTATTCAATTTCTAATGACATCCTTGTAAAAATTTATTGAATTCCTAATTAGTTTCTATAACCCTTGTTAGTGAAAAGGGCTTTGTACCTGGGATATTTAAGTAGAAATAGTCTGTATTTGGAGAGTGGCTAATATGGTGAGGTGAAATTTTCTAGGCTGGACATATAGGATTATATATCATTTTTCACAGTGTTACATAGAACTGTGTCAGGGGATGCTTGCATAAGTGGTCCAGTTTATGCATTCTATATTCCTAGGATTATAGAAGAAGACAGATTATTTCCAAATTGCTTTTCCTTCTGGGAAGTCTATTTCTCCCTTTAATTGAAAGTGGCTGTTACAGGCAAGAAATGACAGTGGTTATAGAGGAGGGGAAGGGGGAGAAAGAGAGGGGAAGGGAGAGAGGGAGGGAGGGAGGGAGAGAGAGAGTTGTAGCTTTGATGGGAATGGGCATAGGAGTGGCGATGGATGTAGTCTTTGCTTCTCAAGCTATGTGACTGACTCACTTCTGAACAAGGCAAGAGGGAGTCCCAAAGATATTTCCCTGAAATCCTAATACTGTCTTAACAACCTTTGAAATTCAGTTCCAGTCAAAGCTAGGGATGCCCAAGCTAGTATAAATGCTTGAATTTCATACACATTTTTATATCCAAGTTATAAATAGCTGCTGAGGCTGTCTGAACTAGATAAAGCAGAATTTATTGAGCATTTAGCCTTTTTAAATGATTTTGTAAATTAAATGGTTGCACTTTCCTTTATTTACAGGAAGCTGTATTGGTAAAGGATCCAAAATAACCTTTGCTCTATCTTGCTTCTACAAATATAATACCTTGAAATAAATTGATGTAGTAAATACGCTGTTGGGAGTATGTGTCATTAAACGTTTATGGTGTGGAAATGTATCAGAGCGCTTACTCAACAACTACCATGCTGCAGCTTCATTTGCTCTTTCATTCTGGTCCACACCTGGTTGTGGATATGAAACCTGAGATTTATTGGTAAGAAAATAGAAGTTGAATTAGAATACTTTCAGGCTAAATCAATTGATTTATTGGAAAGGCTAATATGAATTATAGGGTGTTCCTTCTGCCTTTGTGAATGAGCGAGAGTTGAAAAGTGTTAAATTGTAGGCTAACCGAACTTCCAAAATATCTTTAAGCAAGAAACTATGCCAGTGAAAGTTGCTTTGAAACTCCAAGCCCATCAAGATAGGCTTTCTCTTGTCTGGAGAGCAGGAGCAGCTGTTGTAACCATGGTGCACAGAAGTATGCAGATGATCTTGTGGAAAAGGTGATAATGACAGAGGAGTTCTGTAGTATTTTCTCATTTTCAAAGAGCTGTCATATTTCTTACCTTTCTTTTTCATATATTCATTTCTGTGTCATCATTCCTGTATTTCTTTATTCACTGTTGTGTCTCCAACACCTAGAACAGTGCCCTAGACATAGTAAGTGCGAGGTGAGTATTGATGAGTGAAGGCAGGAAAGAACGGATCTCGGGACGCTGGCTGTCATTTTGTGATATTGCAGCAAAGAGCATTTCCCCCTTACCCCTGTTTGTTTTTCTCTCCTTTCTCCAACTGGCAGTGCATGTACTTGTGGCAGGTGGCTCTCCTTTACCTGACTTTTACCTGGAACATGAATTTATAGTGAGGTAAGCCACCAGAAACATATCTAAGTGATATGCTGCTCAGATTCTTCTTTTGTGATAAGGGAGCACAAAGAGAAAAAAATCCTCTCCTCTCAGTAGCTATCTAGCCTTAGTTTAGGTTCCCTGCAACTGCCAAGATATGCTGCCTTTTACTAAGAGTAATAATTTGCAGAGCACAGTCCTTATATCTTCATGTTTCCACCTAAAGGAGAAACAGGACCTGTGCCAAGCAGGTTAGCATTTAGGAGCTAGAGAAGGATGGGCATCACTGATATCTAGGAGCACTTTAACATGATTTTTAAAAAATGGTTTGGTATCTAGAAATATAGTAAAATAAAAAACTAAACATGATGGCTAGAATGTTTTTAAATACATAGATAGTTCAACAGATGAATTTGGAAAATTTGAGGCCAGCCAGGTACGAAGAGAGCTGAAATCCAGACTAGCAAGCCAGCACCGGCATGGTGCTGGGAGATGGGGGGGAATTTTTTTTCATTATGGCCTGGAGTTTAGATTTTGAAAGACCATGAACCGAGGACAGAAGACAAAGCCTATATAGTGTCCACTGGGAAGTCACATGAGATCTTTTCATAAAGGGGAGAATCCTTACATTTGACCACGTCATTGGATGAACAAGACAAACACTAGCCCCTACAGCAGGAGACAGTAGGAGGACTTTGCTCGCTTAACCTTGGCTCTGGGTGGCCCAGAAAAAAAGAATAGAAAACATCTTGGAAATTGTCTAACAATAAATCTGTCCTTATCTGGGCATTGGGTCAGAATTCATATTATCTATATGGCCTCTCAAACCCCAGCTGAAAATTTAAAGTTGTCCCTTCTTGGAGATACCTCCGAGTACCTGCCGGAAGTAAACTCTTATTTACTCTGCACTTGACACCTAGTTCACAAAAAACTCTCCTGCAGTTCCAAGGAAAATAAGTTCTTACAAGACACACAAGTAAGCAGGCCACCACAGTGAGACAGTGCAGGAAGAACCAACTGCAGAAAAAGATCCGCAAACACTGTAGATATCAAATATAAACTATATGCTTAATATACATTATTCCTTGTTTATTTACTATAGTATGAGGAGTATTTTAAAGGAACAAAAAACTGTTGAAATTGACCAGGCAGAACTATCTGAAATGAAAGCCATAATCACAAAAAATTCAGCGGTGAGGCAGAACGGGAGATTAGCAGAGAATTAACGATCTGAAGGGTACATTTGAAGTTTCTTACAATGCCGCACAGAGAGACAGTACAAAACTTGTTTTAAAAAGCAGGTAAGGTACATGGAAGATGGCGTCCCAAGTTCTAAAA